CGATGACGACTTTAGTTCAAGTCTATCTTTTTTATCAGTACACTTGGGAAAAGAACGGTTCTGGTAAAGGTAGAAGCTGGTGAAGTGTTTGCTTCTCCTCCCTGTAGGAGTAGGTGCCCATTGGTTCGGGGAATTTAACAGCGATTTGAAATGAAGTGAGAGCTTTTTTGTCGTCTTGGACAGATGACTGATTGACCGATTGATCTAGGAATGATTGAGACCAATGTCACTGATTTGCGGTGAACATCAGTTATTACAAATAAGCCATAAGCGTACGTGATGTGAGCTGTAAATTGCGAAGGAATCAGTCTTGATGACTCCGCAATTGCGAAGCAATATAGCTCTCGCTCTTAGCATTTCTTTCGGCACACCATTTTTCGTATACTTTCAATGCTATTTCATATCGCCCCCTACTTTTCTCTGGAACTAAACTGGCTTCTGCTCTTTTTGCAGCTTCTGTAAGTTCTGGTGGAGTACCAATATTAAAGTAGTCTTCAATATCAACTGAAATCAGAACTTTCCGACAACATTTTGGCTTTCTATATTAGATAAATTCGAAAAAGCGAACGAGAAATTCAAAACTGTCACTTAGTTGTTTGTTTTGCTGTTGAAGGTTTGCGCCATAACAACCACTGGTACCGGTAACTATAGATATGGAACATCCAAAACAGAAAACGACAAATTTTCGCATATTTATTTTTTTTTTCAAAATAAAATGCTGTCTCTATTTTTTAATTAATGATGTGGTTGTAAATAAAATAGTATACAAACCTCGGAGGAAAGTTTTCATTGTTGTATTTTAGCTGAACAAGCTTTTTTAACAAAAAGAATAAGCAGCTACGTGTAACATTTTGCATTTCAGTTCAATATTTCCACTGCAACGGGTTGATTCAGTGAGGAAAATAAGTTCGCGCGCAACAGCAAAAGCGAAAAAAATTGAGAATTTAATTACAAAAGAAAATAAAATTAAAACCTGTTAATTAATCTGTTTGAAGGTAAAGTCGTTGTAAACTGTTTTAATTAGTGACTGACTACTTGAAAGTTGTTTTTTTTTATTTGTTAACTCGCAATTTAATGATTAACTAACAAAATACTTCGTTAGCTGGCAGCGCACTTTTCTAGATTTTTCACTATGAAAAAACACTTTACTTCATTATTTTTCGTAAAAAAAACTAATATTTTAAATTAATTTAAACTAAAACTAACCCACTATATAAAACTTTTATAAATGTTTATCTGTATTCTCCCGTTTTTATCGTTGATTTATTGGAGAGAAAATAAGTTTTCAGTTTATTTGACACAAAAAGAAGAAGAAAATTGAGAACAAATAGTTTTTCAGAACACCCTCTGTTTCTTTCCTTGAATATATTGTATCAACACTGCAATTTTTAATATTAATTATTATACAGGGTGGCCCATCGAAAACGTTCCGCAAGGCATAAAGGCCAGGATATTTTTTTTTTCAAAAAATCCAAAAACACGTCAATTTTGTTTGTGAGGGGGACAACTTTTGTCCCAAAAATGATTGCAAAATCTTCAACCCTCTAAGCGGGGCTGTCATCCCCCAACTTTTTTCAAATGGGAAGGGGGGTCAAGTGGTACCGCAATGAAAAGGGCTTTTTATTCTCTATACTTTCCCGCTTTGTTTTTGAAAATCGGTCGAGTCGTTGAGAAAATATGAAGGATTGAAATTTGTAAAGTTTATTTAAACATTTATCAGAGTATATGATAAGGATAAATTCCTTCGACCAGTTTGCTGTTTTTTCTTATTATTTCTAGATGTTTACGCATTTTTTCACTTGACACAAGGTTGAACGATCAGGTGCGGCAGTTGCTAGATAGCTGTTCTGTGACTTGTGCGTTGAAGATCTTCTCAATATCGTTAAACTGACGTAAAATCGAATTTCCAAAAATACCAGCCCACACGTTCAATTTCTGAGGGTTTGGTGTGTGCACCTCGTGAAAAACCCCTCAGCCCAGTACCGACAGTTATGCCGATTAACTACACCTTTCAAAAAGAAAGTACACTCATCCGAAAAACACACATTAAATAGGAAATTATTATCATTCGCCACTCGTTCACTCACAGTTTCACAAAATTGCAAGCGACGATCAAAATCGTCTTCGTTGAGTTCTTGTACCAACTGAATTTTGTACGGGTGAATTTTGTACGAAGTTTCCGGAATACACTTCGGACCACCCTGTATATTAATAGAGTTATCGAGAAATGAACATAATTATGTTCATTATTGCAAAAAAATGAATAACTCGAGTACCAAAGGAAAAAAGCGGCCCGCAAATTTCAGCGTTTAATTAAAAAAAAAAAATGAAACGAGAGAAGTTTAAAAACGTGAAAACAGTTTTCGAGGGAGTCGAAGCCAATGTAAACTGTTTTTTAATTTAATGGCCGCTCCGGCCACTCGACACGGCTTTTTATTAATTATCCCGCAGTGGCCACCGCACACTCCAGAGTTTGTTTCCGGTATTGTTAGGGCTGCGCGCAGGGTCCCGGATTAAAAGGGCGTCCGACGAAGGCCGGACCTACACCCACCCCCACTTTACCCTAAACCAGTCCTCTTAAGGGCTTCGGGTTTGCTTTTTCCGCTACGTACGTTGTTCTTCGGTCCAGACTAAACGGCACGGATGTTTGTTCCTTTGGGGTTGCATTTATGGTTTCATTTTTGATTTAAATTAAACGAATTTTTATAAATTTGATTGATTTTTTTACGGCACTGGATTCTACGTGAAAGACTCTAAACTGAAAAAATTAATTTGTGAAATTAATAGCCTTTTATTGGTGTTATTATATTGATTTTTGATTCAAATTCACATTTATTTAGAATAATTTATCAACTAACACAATTAAGTATGTAATTAATGAATATTTGGGTGGAAATAATGGCGGTATATTTAATTAATGATATACTCTTTTATAAAGATTTAAATACTTTTCTTTTTGTATACAAATGGGCTAGTAATATTGTAGTTTTTTTTATTAGCACCTGTACATTTTGTACATTTGTTGCTCTAAAAACAATCTAAAATGTCAATATTCCATGGGTATATTGATAAATGAGGTCTAAATTATAAGAAAACGCATTTTCTACGAAAACTTGAAGGGATAGGTAAAAAATGGAATAGTAGAATTTGATAGGCAATTAAATTGTGCATCTGATTCTCCAAAAATATATAGAGTGTTCTATTTAAATTAAACAAGGTATTGCCGTTTAAATCTAGAAAATATTTAAAATAAATTTTTAGGCACTCTGTATGAAGTAGTATTATTTTTATTATTGCAACACAATAACTGATTAATAAATAAACATCAGTAAATATTTAGTATGAAAAACTTTCATACCCTTGGAGAAATAAAGCCTTAAAATTTTTACTGCAATTTCACAAAATTGAAAATATTTCATAAACGTGTGATAAACCTTAATCAAATTTACCTTTATTTTAATCGTTGAATCTAAAAATGTAATAATATACCGGGTGTTCTGTTTAAAAAAATACAACTTTGATATTTTTTATTTATTTGGGACACTCTGTATCTTGTAAAAATATTTTTAAATTGTAGCTCTAATAGTCCTTCAACAAACCCAAAACTTAATATCTATACTAATATATAAAATCCTTAAGTAACTGACGTACTGATTAATCACGATCCTGCTTAAACCACTCAACGTAAGAAGCTCAATTTTGGCATACAGGTTGATTCTAGGGTGTAGAGGTTCGATAAGTACCAAGAGGGTGAAACCACCCCTCCAATATTACAATATTTTTTATTTAAAAAACGGTTAAGTTTCCGAAAAAACGCTTAAACACGTATATTTTATTTTGTTTTTTTACATATATTAAGATTTTGTAAAAATGTATACAGGGTGTGTCGAAAAATCTGGTCATTGATTAATCACGATCCTGCTTAAAGCGCTTGACGTAAAAAGCTGATTTTTGGAAAACAGATTGACTTTAGGGTGTAGAGGTTCGATAAGAAGGGGTTTTTCCAAACTCGAATTCTAAGGGGGTGAAACTATCCTTCAAATATTAAAATATTTTTTATTTAAAAACCGGTCAGTTTTTCGGAAAAACTCTTAAGCACGTATATTTTATTTTGTTGTTTTACATATTTTAAGATTTTTTATAAATCTATACAGGGCGTTTCATAAAATATGACCACTGAGTAATCACGATTCTGCTTAAACTGCTTGACGTTTAGAGCTGATTTTTGGCAAACGGATTGACTATGGGGTGTAGAGGTTCGATAAGGAGGCGTTTCTCGAATCTCAAATTCCAAGAGGGTGAAAACGCCCCTCAAATATTACAATATTTGTTATTTAAAAAAAAGTTAGTCTTTCGGGAAAACGCTTGGACAATCATAATTTATTTGGTTTCTTTACATATTTTGAAATTTTTTAAAAAAGGTTGTTCCAAAAAATAATATTTAAAAGGGTGTTCCAAAAAGTTGGGTAATTGATTAACCACGATTCTGTTTAAACTGCTTGACGTAAAAAGCTAATTTTTGGCAAACGGATTTTTCGAAAGTCAAATTCCAACGAGATGAAACTACCTCTCAAATATTACCAAGTTATATAATAATATCGCCATATTGTTTTTTCTCATGCTGACATAAATGTGAGGAATTTTGGTTTGTATGTTAATGGAAATTTTGCTTTGCTTTATCATCACCCATTACAAATGATTAATTCCAAGCGAACGAAGTCGCTTGGCATGTTCGGTATATAATAATTTGTAAAAATCTAATCGTTTAGCTACAATACTCCGTGTCGTATATGTTGCGTGAGTTCTTTTCGAAGTGTTTTCTTTAAAACCCTAAACTCTTATAAGAGTTTTGCTACAGTATGATACTACAAAATTATACGAAATTTTACTTTTTTTCTTCCAGTAACAAAACGTTTTCTTTAAAACCCTAAACTCTTATAAGAGTTTTGCAACAGTATGATACTACAAAATTATACTAAATTTTCCTTTTTTTCTTCCAGCAACCAAACGTTCCCGCACCACCCCCGACGACCTACCCTGACCAAGACCAAGACCACCGCCGGCCTACCTCACGCAGTCCGGCACCCCCTCCACCTCCGTCTATGCTCTCTGCTCATCAACAGCCGCCCCAAATAACCATGTGCCCCTCGCCACCCGAAGAACTCACGGCCAGCCCGGATGCCGACCTGGACGTGGAGGAGGATGACGAGGACGTCCAGCACGAGACGCCCGAGAACCTGTCCTTGAAGCGGGAGAAGATGCAGAGTCCGGAACCGGTCAGTGGGGGGCAGGAGGGGAGTTTCGGCGGGTTCCATCATAATCCTTTTATTGGGCAGTTCCCGACGCCGCAGCAGTTGCAGCAGATTCAGCCTCCGTCGCAGAGGTCGCCGGTGAATATACTGATGAGGGTGTTTCCTGGGAGGAGGAGGTCGGACGTAGAGGCTATTTTGCAAAGGTAGGTTTTGATCAAGTGTCAATAAACTCAGTGAAGGCGCGTTGTTTAATAATACTGGTTGTAAAAAAAAAACCTGAAGCACTGGCACCATTCCTGCTAATTTTTATGGTGCTGGCGTCCCAGTTTAGAAATGGTTATAATACCTTCAGAAATCAATTATTTGTCGGTCAGTGGTGTCTCAGATTATACAGGGTCAGTCTTAAACTCGGTTCTTAAATTAGTGCAAATATTTTTAGAGTATTTCATTCATTTTGAAAATTTTGATATTTTTTTGAAAAATTTTGTTAGTTTTAGTTAAAAATATATTTCTGACAATATGGCAACATGAGTAGTAGATTAAATTTATAAGAAAGAAAACCCAAAAGAAAACCTAAAATAAAAAAAATAAACTATTTTAAACGTCACAAAAGTTTTAATTTTTGCGACGTGATTGACAATATAAAAAGTTATTTTAATGTCTAGGCATAAAACTAAAGCACTTTGCCGCCTAAGGCACGAAACTATATTAATAACCTGACAAAGTGTCAAATTCAACGAGCGTAACCATAGTTTCTCAATATATATCTATATAATTACATACAATGTATGAGTTTAAAATTCATTATTAGAACGTTTAAAATTGTTTAAAACTTATTTGTGGGATTTGAAAAAATAGTATGTTCTATTCGAGTAAATGACTTTTTGTGCCTTGGTTGTATGCCAGCGGTAACAGTCAAACGTACAGCCTCGTACACAAACACATATCTTTTTTTAAATTTATTTGAAAAACGGTAAAAAATATGTTTTTAAAAAAAAAAAAAAAAATCAAAATATTTGCACTTATTTAAGACTCACCCTGTATATCAAGTTTTAAGCTGTTTGGGCTCAGTTTATACCGAACATTAATTCAAAGCTTGTTTTAAATGATGTGGTTTACAGGCCAAGCAACGCATTATAGAAAATGCATCCCTTATACCATACACTCATATACCATCCTCTTTTACCTCCTCTACCACACCAACAGGTATGGTAGGCTATTAAGACCGACGCAAAAGTTTTTTAATTTCACTAAATGAGTTATTTGGGTCAAAAATGACCTAAATACAAAAATATTTTCATGGTGTCTGTTCGTCCGTCTGTCTGTCTGTAACACGATAACTCAAACACCCCTAAACCGATTTTAATCCAAATTTAAGTAATAAAAATACCAAATCTCGAGAATCGGGCCATTAATTTTTGGTGGGGGAGGGGTTTGGTAAGGGAGTATGGGAGGGGATTAAATTTTAAAAATCTCCAAAATTACTGTAGCTAGCGAAACGCGGTTTTCAATTTTAAGATTAGGAATAATATTTGCAACAAAATTTGTAATAACATCAAAAAATTGGAAAAAATTCTCTACTTTTGAAACCAAAAAGAACTGCCTAACAACTTTTTATTAACATATATTAGTGCGAGTATTTTATTTTCTTTTTAATATGTTATTGCTTCTTTACTCAGATGTCGAGGCGATATCCTCCAAGCCATGGAACTAATGATCGGCACGAACCCTCCATACCATCCGCTTTCTCCCCATTGGGCGTACCGTACCACCTACAAAGGTACAGCCCTCCCAGGAGGTTCCTGGCCGCACCCTACGCTGGTACCGGATACCTGTCATCCGTTATCCGACCTCCAGCGGATTACATCTCTCTGGTGGGGTCGCTGCATGACACCACAGCCTCATCACCTGCTTCCAATACGAGTTCGGATAAGACGTCGTACTCTGAGTAGCTTTACAGGTAAAGGTAATGTGCTTTACCTTGAATAGGATAGACTTTGTTGATGTTGGTCGGACTTGGGTTGGAGATGTGCTTGTTGAGTGTCAGAATGGTTACTTTGATCTTATTGTTTTTCTCTGAGATTAATTTGGATTAATTTTTTTTCGAAAATTGTTATTCATGACTCAAACGCACATGCAAAATATAGGATAATATTAAAAAATATCGGAATTTGTTGTACTTATTATAATAATAGGGAAGTTCCGGAAATTTCACATTAAAATAGTAAAAGTTCGTAGCAATGTATAACCTAAATTGCTTAGTTTCAGAAATACAAGGTATAGAAGTTTAACTTTTATTTCGATTTTTTCCAACATTTGAAGTAATGTCAATATTTGGGTGAAAATAGGTGTCTGGGAATTTTTTAAAATGAGAAAAAATAAATAAATTTAATTTTGATGTCTAAGAGCGTAGTTTTAATCTGCTTGAAGAGTAACTTTCAGCCTGCCTGTATAAAACAATGGAGTTATTTCCGTGATTTCATACGCCTTGGTAAATTACCACGAGCAACCGTTCTAAAGATATTTACAATGGAAATTTTTTTTTTTTGTCATTATTGACAAAATGAACATGTTGAGTAGATAGTTACATATTCGACTCAAACAATAAATTTGGGAACTTTTATTTTTTTTTTAATTTATCATAAATTTTTCTTCGAAAAAATGATGATAAAACAGTTTCTGTTGAACTTTGACACAAAATCATTTCAAATTTATGATTTCAGTCTAATAACTATTTAGTCAACTTTGTTAATTTATGTCAATGATGCATGGCAGGTATTGATAATCTCGACTCCAAATATCTCGAACCATTAGTCGTAGCGATTTACCAAGAGATCTTTTACGTAAAAAAACCTCGCAAAGGTATGTTTTTTGCTCAGTAGTTTTATACAGGTACAGACAAAAAGTTATTACTCTTCAAACAAAGCGTAAATAAGTAGGCGGCGCCCCCTACAAGTAGGAGTCATGTTGATATCAAAATCAAACTTCTCATGTGAAAAAACTCCTAGACATCCAAAGACCACTTTCATCCAAATATTGACGTTACTTCAGAAATTATTTGGAAAAAAATCGAAATAAAAATGAAACTTTTTACACCCGGTTTCTCCAAAATCAAGCATTTTTAGGACATAAATTTAAAATTAAAAAAAACTTTTTACTTATTTTATCTGCAGAATATGCTGCCGAAGTTTCCGGAATACAGTCTGACCACCCTGTATAACAATCTAGTCAAGAAATAAATTAATTTTTTCCTTAAGAACCTTATTTAGAACTTTAGATATTTTTAATCAGCTTTTATTACTTTTTATAATCACTTTGCTTTTAAGTTTTTTACCTAAACTTATAAAAACTATTATTTCAATATAATATCGAAAAATTTTACATTTGTTATAATATTTTTACAAGGATTTCTAAAGATATTATTTAAAAATCCATACTTTCAAAAATTCTACGTTTTTTAAACTAAATAGGATTTTTTAGAGAGAATAATTTTTTAGGGATTCCTTGTACATGAACAAACAAAAATATATAATTGTAAAATTTGTAGATAGGAAAAAAAGAACAAAACATATTATTACATTTTATAAATGTTGTATATAAAAAACCTAGATGTAGTAATAGAATAACATAGTAAAATGTATACATAGTTGATGATATTATAATTAATAAAAGGTGAAACCATTAAATGAATAAGATGTATGATTTTTTTGGTGTAAAAATTAAATAATGAGCTTTAATAACTTTAATTGATAATATACTTTTTTTTAAAGAAAAAAAAAAAAAAAAAAAACTATTTTTTTTAGTATTTTAGTTTATTTTATTATCGATGAATTTTTGAGATATTTTAGTTGTGGCAATTATACACAGTCGGTAACTATACTGTACACACTAACATTACTGTACACAGTTTAAACAGAATCGTGATTATTCAATGGTCATATTTCATGAAACACCCTGTATTTTTTTTTAAAATCTTAAAATATGTAAAACAACAAAATAAAATATACGTGCTTAAGAGTTTTTTCGAAACTTGACCATTTTTAAATAACGTAAAAATATTGTAATATTTGGCAAGTGGTTTCACCCTTTGGAACTGAATTTCGAAAATCCTTTCTTATCGAACCCTACACCCTCTATAATCAACCTGTATGCCAATGAACTTCTTATGCTGAGTGGTTTGAGCAGGATCGTGATTAATCAGTATGTGAGTCAATTAAGGATTTTTATACAGGGTTGTTCACCACATACGAGACAGAGTAATAGAAGCCAAACGATGAGATTTTTACAAATTGTAAGTTTGGGGTTCGTTGAAGGACTATTAGAGCTTGCCAATTTAAAAATATTTTATAAAATACAGAGTGTCCCAAATAAATAAAAATATCGTTGTATTTTTTTTTAATAGGAACACTTTATATATTATTACATTTTTAGTTTCTACGATTAAAATAGAATAATAAACATTAATATAAAATTATTATACTTAAACCTTACCGTTTTTGAAATATTTTCAATTTTGTGAAATTGCAGTAAAAATTTTAAAGTCTTATTTCTCCAAGGGTATCAATGTTTTTAATACTAAAATATTTAATGAAGTTTATTTATTGATCAGTTATTGTGTTGCAATAATAAAATAATACTCACCTATACAGAGTGTCTAAAATCTCTATTTTTAAATAATTATTAGCTTTCCTTCAAACGGCAATAACTTTTAATTTAAATGAATGCCCTGTATATTTTAGGAGAATCAGATGTACAATTAAATGTCTATCAAATTGTATTATACCATTTTTTACCTATCCCTTCAAGTTTCGTAGAAAATGCATTTTCTTATACTTAGACCTCATTTATCAATATATCCATGGAATATTGACATTTTAGATTGTTTTTAAAGCAACAAATGTATAGTCAACAGATTGTAATATTATCGTTTTAGCAAAACGATAATATTACTAGCCCATTTGTGGCGCAAAAAGAAAACTTTATTTAAATCTTTATAAAAGAGTATACCATTAATTAAATATAACACCATTATTTCCGCCCATATACTAATTAATTACATACTTAATTGTGTTCGTTAATAAATTATTATAAGTAAATGGATTTTGAGTCAGAAATCATAATAATAAGTTATCAAATTAAAGTCTCTGTTGTTAAATAAAAGATTTATTAAAAAATGAAATATCATTTTTAAGGTGTTACTTTTATCACACTGTCTAATGCCCATAATAAAATTCAATTTTTTAGTATTTGGAGTACTATATTAATTAACGCAAACAGTCAGCTAATGTAGTTTGAATCCTGGATCATATTAATTGGTCCCTTTAACAAATATTTAAACAGTTTTTTTATTTTTAATGAAATAAACGAATTATATCGACAATATATATCTGTACTCTTTAAAATTTGGTACATCTTTAAAAATAATCTAAAATGTCAATAGTCCATGGGTATATTGATAAATAAGTTCTAAATTACAAGAAAAATGCATTTTCTACGAACCTTAAAAGAAATAGGTAAAAAATGTATAATATAATTTGATAGACAATTAAATTCAGCATCTGATTTTTGTAAAATATACAGTGTTCCATTAAAAAAAAAAAAAAAAAAAAAAAAATACTATTTAAAATAAATTTTAGACACTCTGTATAAGGTAGTATTATTTTATTATTGCAACACAATCTAGTAAATATAAAAACTTCAGTAAATATTTAGTATTAAAAACTTTGATACCCTTGGTAAAATGAAGCCTTAACATTTTACTGCAATTTCAATAAAATTGAAAATATTTCAAAAACGGTAAAGTTTAAGTATAATTAATCTTAATCAAATTTTACCTTTATTTTAATCGTAGAAACTAAAAAATGTAATAATATACAGGGTGTTCCATTTAAAAAATACAACTTTTGATATTTTTTACTTATTTGGGACACTTGTATCTTGTAAAATTATTTTTAAATTGTACCTCTAATAGTCCTTCATCGAACCCAAAACTTACAATTTGTAAAAATCTCATCGGTTAGCTACAATACTCCGTGTCGTATGTGGTGAACAACCCTGTATATTAGTATGGATTATATTGGAAATGTCATCGATCGTCATTTCCAAGCCAACTGGACGCCATTTTTTTTCGATCATACGGTATTACTTCTCTACTGTGTCATTGCATGTTTTGGTTGGTCTTCCTCTTGGTCTATATCTTTCATACAAACATAAAAATCATATTTGAATCCTTTTTTAGTCTTCTTATTCAATGTATCACTACAGAAAACATTACTGTCTGCTATTGTCCTTGTATTATTAAGTTTCAGCGTTTGCAATATGCTAATAAACATGGGTAAACAATAGCCCGATCTTCAGAGCGTCAAGAGGAGGGTACACGTATGACTATTATCCCGCCGCACTAATCTCAACGTCTAGAGCCCTTATTATACGGGTTACTATGCCATTATATTACATGGTAACTGGAGACTTGTCAATACTTAATTAAATTTACCCATGAGGAATACGTAGAAAGTCTGGATGATTTTTGGGCATTTTTTTCAGGTGGGGGAGCAAATTGTAATGTTTGGTTAGTGTAAAGGTAGATAAGGGATGGTCCAAATCAAGAAGTATCTTGTTTTTAAACTGTGAAATTTTAATCATATTTTAGGTAAAATTGTTACCTTTTTAATTAATTTTTTTTCAAATTAGTGCACTTTAAATTAAACTGATTTTATGAACTTTATAAAAACAAAAATTGATCAGTATGATTCATTTATGCTTCGAAAATTGTTCTGGAATATACTAAAGTGGGTATAATATCAAAACGACTAAATATTTCGCCACGATACTATTTATAGATTCCAGGCAAAATCAGATGAGTTTGAATTAAAAACAATACATCAATCATTCAAATCCTCTTAGATGTCAATAACAACTGTTAGTAATGGTAAGTAATAAGGTAAGAGGGGTCCTGTTGGGTAAAAAAAACCCAACAAGACTGTCAAAAGTTATACTGAGTCATAAATACACAAAAATCTTAAAATTAAATAATGGCCATTAATTTCATTAAATTTGGTATCACAATGCTTCATTATGATA